CTTTGCGGAAGCCGAAGAAATGCACCGGCGCTGGATGCCAAGCGGCGAGTACCTGAAGAAGCACTGGCCTGGTAAGTTCAAGGAGCCGGGTTACAGTGAATTTGCTTTCCATTCTCCGCAACCTTTCGTAAAAGTCTGAAAGGTTCTTTTTGGGCTGAGGTACCAGACATGAACTCGAGTCGGATGCTGGAAGCTATCAAACGGCTCGCAGGCCCAAGCTCTATCTAGGGGGGGCCGGGCGGTCGGAGTGCCGGGCCCCGGATCACATCAAGAAGAAACAACGTGGACCCGGCAGCTTCCACCCTCGCAACTCGCACAAGGCAGCTTCCTGACAGCCGACGCTCTACATGCCAAAACCTTTCGTCCCAAACCTGCGCCACTTCGGGCTTGAGGGCTTCTTTTGCCACCGCACGAAACTCCCTGCGGTGCATGCATTCATGTGCCGGCCACCAGGCTGACTTTGCAACTCAGGGAGGGACAGAAAGCCACAGAACCGGGCCAAAAGCTTCTTGCATCAAGGCCTGTTCAAACTGCCGGGCCAAAAAGTTGAAACCTGAAACTACGGAATCAGAGAGGACAAACGGAGGTCTTCCATGAAGCCCCGGCTATCGCAGCGCTCGGGGCGACAAGACGCACCCCCAAACCCTGCATCCCAAAAGAACCTTGCAGCCGTCTCCGGCCCACACCCCGCCCTACTTCACGGTTTGGGGCTGTGGCTGGCGGCCCACCGTTCAGCCAACCGTTGCCGATCAGCCAACAATTTCGGGACCTTGTGCAGGAAGGTCGGGCAATATTCCTGGGCTCAAGCTCCTCTTCGGGCTTTGCTGTTGTCTTTGCAAAGCTCATGGCTCAGGGCTCAGGGCGCCCTAAAGTAGCCTGGAAGAAACGAGGGGCCGACCGCTCAAGGTCCCAAATTCCTCAAAAAACCCAAAGCTGCTCAGGCTCCGAGGTGCCCTTTACCAAAGAAGCCAGGGTACGGGCCACGGCCGCCTCTGCTTCCCCAACGTCCCAACGCTGCTTTCCTGAGTAGGGCCGCAGGCTCTCAGGTGCCAAGCTTCGACACACTTCTTGATTTCTAAGTCCAGGGTTGAGGATTTGTACGGTGTGGAGTTTAGGGGTTTGGGGTCCGGGGGCTTAGGGTTCCGTCGGGTGCAGGGTGTTAGGATGTAGAAGTTAGGCTGCTCGGGTTCAGGGAGTGTGTGTTCAGGACGTAGGCTTTTTACGGCCTGACTATCAAAGCCTGAGAAACGCTGGAACTCACTTTCGCAAAGTCACAGGATGTTGAAACCTCCCGGCACTATACGATTGTACTTTACGATATAGTACTAGCAATGCCTGCACTCTACACTTTTTACTGTGCTAGGTCCGCTAGGTACTATACCATACACTATACTTTACATTATGCTCCCACGTTATGCGTCTCAGTCTGTCTGCTTGTGGCCTCACATATACAGGTAGGTAGACAGCGAATGTCTCGGCAGCCAGAGCCCGAACAGCACCATGAAGCCGCTAGACTAGAAGAGACAAGCGTCCGCAGGGACCAACTTGAGCACGTTCTCTTGCGCACCTCTTCACACGAGCGGCTCTACTGAGGTTGTGTCGGTGCTGATATAGCATACAGCACAATACAAATATACCCGTGTATCTTACCTATGTATGTGTACATATAATATGTAAACATATGTCTCTGTGTGTGTACATACACATAGATAGATAGTACAGGATGTACTATGGCAAATGCACTGTCAATCCGAACAGAAATGCAGCACTAGCACAACTACAAAACCTACCACCCTTCCTTGCATTACTACTACAACTGAGACGCGTGCTGCCACTGTGACCTTTCGACCACCACTGCGAGCACTAGTTGTAGTTTTATATGATCACCACACATCTCTGTCACAAAGCCCACGTAAAGATCACCTCAACTGGAGGAACAGCTTTCTTCGTCTCCCAGTTCCAAAAACTGCAACAAGACCGTTGCTGCGCGAAGCGATGCTTGGGTTCCCCAGTGGCCCGGGCCAGGCCTGCAGCTCCAGTTATGCCTGAGCTCCACCCTTCGACGACGACAGGACGGATTGAACAAACTTCTATGAACCGTGACGACGACGCTGCCAATGCCGACGCCGACAGTTACATGTCACCGACCAAGAGAAGACGACGAAGACGACTGGGACGAACGACGACGACGACGACGATTCGCACCGCGCTGGTTATTACTCTTATAATATCTCTACCACCGTGCTATCTTGTTGACGCTAAGCCTCCTTGTTGTTGCTGTCCTCGTTGTTCCTTTAACGCTTTGTTGTTGTCAGACGCATTGAACATAGACGCGGAGCGGGGTAATCAGAAAAAGTGACTGCCACGGCGAAGCTGCAAAAAGCTGCGAACTTTGGCCCTGTGCAACAAGAAGTAGCGACACACTCAGTGCTAACGGGGCGTGGGTGTACCATGCAATTGGTGCCACTGGGCATGCATGAAACGCAGTTGGGCACCAGGAGATCGATTTGGATGGAAGCGTGCGGTGCTTTTCGAGCTTAGGGAGTTCTCGACTCGCTTTGGGCGCGGCAAGATCACCAAATGTCTCGAAGTCCGATTTGCTTGCATTCCGCCAGATTCAGCCTCTGGAGCCCTTGCAGGGAGGTGCCCTCAAGGTCGTGCTTAAAGCAGCCATAAAAAAAACCAAAACGCTTCGTGCTGGGATGCGGAAGATGCGCGCAAGTGAGAGAGAGAGAGCCACTCTTGAAAGGCATCCGTGAAAGGTGCACCCTGTAAGAGGCACCCTTGAAAAAGGCATCCGTCAAAGGGACACTTTGTGAGAGGCACTCTTGAAAAGGCATCCGTCAAAGGGACACCCTGTGAGAGGCACTCTTGAAAAGGCATCCGTGAAGGCACACCCTGCGAGGCACTATTGAAAGGCACACCCTGTGAGAGCCACTCTTGAAAAGGAAGGCACACCCTGTGGAGAGGCACTCTTGAAACGGCATCCGTGAAGGCAAACCCTGTGAGAGGCACCCTTGAAAAGGCATCCTTCAAAGGGACACCCTGTGAGAGGCACTTTTGAAAAGGCATCCGTGAAAGACACACCCTGTGAGAGCCACTCTTGAAAAGACATCCGTGAAAGGCATATCCTGTGAGAGGCACCCTTGAAAAGGCATCCGTGAAAGACACATCCTTGAAAAGGCATCCGTGAAAGGGACACCCTGTGAGAGGCACTCTTGAAAAGGCATCTGTAAAAGGCACACCCTCTGAGAGGCATTCACAACCTGTGAGAGCCACTCTTGAAAAGGCATCCGTGAAGTAAAGTGAGCACGAGTGAGTATATAAGCTAAAAACAGATACAAATTCCACTTCGCGACACACATTTTTGGCCTGTCCGGTATCGGAGCCACGAGGCATTCAAGAAGTTAACTGGGTGCAGAGATCTGGAAATCAAAGCCCTCTGAAAATGATCCCAACGACCTCCTTGCCTTCTTCAATATGCTCGAAGTCGAACCGGTGCTGCCGCGCAGCTGGCACCCCAGAAGGTGCCGTCGCTCACCGTCTTCTGGTAGGTAGGCCATGACTGCGCGGCGCAGTTTCGGGCGAAACTTCGGGGTGGCACTTGAAGCGGCAGCTCGTTGAAGCTATCTTCGAAAGCTGCCACTACCACCAGGAAGTAGAGCTTCGGGTGTATCCAGGAACCCTGAGCGATAATATTGGTAATTGAGGCCTGCCCTTTCAGTACATGTTGACCTCTTCAAGCTTTTGGCTTCGTCGCCCAAGGCTACCAATCTATTGCAAAGACCGCGACTCTTTGCTCAGATCGATTACTGCCCCGTTGCTAGAATCATCTTATACAGTGGTTGGTACTGCTGAATTCAATGCGGGCCCTCGTCCCCTGCAACAAGTGCAGACTGTACTGCTGACCCTGCTTCCGCTCACGATTCTTCGCCTACTGTTCAACACGGTTTCGACAGTCCGAAGCTTCTGAGCTTTGCACCTGTCGAGCTTTCGGGTTGGGACTTGCTGGACGGTTAAGTCTGGCCCCCGGGCACTTCAGAGTTTCAGCCTTCACGATGGGAGGCGTGCGCATGCTCTGCTGATGCCACAACTGGGAAAGTGGTCAAAACAACTGGCCTGGTCGTTGATGACCCCACCTGCGACGCTGAACCCCTAGAACGAACACGGATGCTTGCTGACACTCTGGCTCGACTGGCTGAGAGACTTGGTACCACCATTGCAACCACGAGGAGTTCACCTTTCGCCATACCTACAAATGAATTCGACGATTACCTTGTAATTCGAAAGGGTCCTACTGGTTGCCGCCAGGGCTCTCGTGCTCACTGGGACACCTCCCGCACTGAGCACGGCTTCATCGTACATGTACCATCCTGCACTTCTCAGCCATCCTACTCGGACGACACGGACTTGCCAAGGTGAGGGAAGCTGCCAAGACTAAGACTGCCAGGAAGTGTGGGCTTTTGGGTCCAGGCCCTGGGTTGAAGAAAGACTCACTTGGAGCGGCATTGCAACGGAACGCTGAGACGACTCCCGGGCTACAGGCTTGCAAGGGTGTCGAACTGCGGCTGGGGAGTCTCAAGCACAAGAACGACCGCACTCGAAACAGACTGATGCATCGACTCCCGCGTCTGTCTTTTCCAACGTACACAGAAAAATCAACAAGCTCAAGGAGGGAAGCAACTCTGCGCGGCTCTGTTGCACCTGCCGTACCGCAAAGGAGGAGCCATTTTTGCATGTCTGACCTATGAGCCCTCCGTCAACAGGAGGGCCAGGGGGGATGGGAGGGCTACCCAGCCTGCGGGGTGTCCGCACAGCCTGGCATCGAAGCTGGAAATGCAGGGGGGCTTTAACTAACTAGATTGCAACTTCAAGTCGAGCGGCATTGGCGTGCCCATAGAACCCATATATGTATGTATAAAACCGAGGGGGAGCAACAGACGCACTTTTGAAGCGGCTCCTTCGGTCTTGGTGTACGAGATGTCTGCCTGAGGCATCTCAGGTTGCACTGACAGGCCGAAGTTTTTCGGTATCTCCATGGCTGGTGGCCAG